AAAATATGCAAAGGAGCTAGTTAAGAAATTTGAAATGAAAGATTCAAAGCATGTGCAAACTCCTATGAGAACTTCATCTAAGTTGGATAGATACTCTTATCCTAACAAGGTTGATCATTTCTTGTATAGGAGTATGATTGGTAGCTTGTTGTATTTGGCAGCAAGTAGGCCAGATATTTCGTTTAGTGTAGGTATTTGTGCTAGGTATTAAGCTGATCTTAGAGAATAACATGTTATTACAGTCAAGTGCATTATTTGTTATGTCAATAGTACATTGAATAGTGGGTTGTGTTATTCTTCTGAATCTAACTATGAGATTGTAAACTATACTGATGCTGATTGGGCTGGTAACAAAATGATAGAAAGAGTACTTCGATTAAGTGGTTGTTTCTATGTTGGTACTAATCTTGTTTCATGGTACAGTAAGAAACAAAATTGCATATATTTATCATCTTGTGAGGCTGAATACATTGTGGCTAGAAGTTGTTGCACACAATTGTTTTGGATGAAACAGATGCTTCTGGATTATAGAGTTGATTAAGGTATTATTACTATCTTTTGTGATAATACTAGTATAATTAATATGTTAAATAAACTAGTTTTGCATTCTAGAACCAAACACATTAACATTCGACATCACTTTCTTATGGAACTTATTAAACAAAATGTCGTGTCTTTGGAAAAAGTGCATACTGAACAGAATTTGGCTGATATTCTCACCAAGGCATTAGATTCTCCTAAGTTTTATCATCTTAGGAAATCTATAGGCGTTGTTTGTCTTGATTAGATGTATGTCAAAGACATAGTCTAGAAAGGATTTTCATGCATATCTTGAGTGTCTAGATTATATTTTTGAGAAGCTAAGCAAACCATATTGATTGAGTACGTTGAACATAATGAGTTTAATGACACATGGATTAAATGTGTAAAATATACTATGGCTATGAATTGATGAAATTGATTTTGCTTACTTGTTTCGTATAGTAAATGAATAATTGATAATATATTTACTTGTGTTTGATGTCATTGTTTTTGTCAAAGATAATGTTGACATAATTGAACATTTCTTGAAATTTAAACTTGATTTATGTGTTTTAGACCTACATTTGGGATTTGTCTAAAGCTACCTTTATTCGAAACAAATGGGAATAAGGGAAAGAGTTAGCTGCCCATTAAACGCGAAAGCCGCTAATGTGGCCAAAAAAATAATAATAATAAAAATAAAAATAAAAAAATGGAGCACAAAGAGAAATATATATATATATATATATATATATATATATATATATATATAGCCTTTTGCACATGTTGATTGTTTGATTTCTAAGGATATGTAATATCATTGATTTATTATCTGAAATCTGAACAGTTGATAGATCATATGTTTTTAGAACTTGGTGATGATTTTACTACACTTACTAAGTTTGTGGAACTTAAATGAATTGATCTTGGTTATTTATGTTGATACATATAGTCTTGTGGAGTCTACATTCTCATTTGATTCAATTTACAAGATTTATATGGTTGGTTGCTTCCTACTTCTAGGATATTTCTTCCTTGATACCCTTATTAATTTGTGACAAAAAGGGGGAGAGATATTTGAGATTTTCAAGCATTCAGGGGGAGAAATACTTTTGCATTAAGGGGGAGATTCTTTTGCATTCAGGGGGAGAACCATTGATAATTGCATTTAAATTGCGTTGATTTTTCAGTACTAAAATTTGTTTATTTTATGTTTGTGTTTATTTTCTTGATTAAGCTTCACAGGTAGTTGTGTTTAAATTAATGTGCAAATTATAGGTTGTTACATGTGTTAAAGCTTCACGAGGTTCAAGAAAAATTTCGCGGTTTAGTTCCTATGACAAATTGTAATATTCTTTTTCTGCTTAGGTAGATTATACATTTGTTTTTAGGGTTTTGTCATGAAATTGCTAAAGGGGGAGATTGTGAGATATATATTTTGTAATTGGCTAATTTCGTTGTCAAAACAAGTCCGATCGAGTTGTAATTTTTTTGTTTAAAATTTCAAGACTGAAGATCGGATGTGGATTTGAAGAAGTTCAAGTGTTCATGATTTACTACACTCTGTGATGATGAGAACAATGCTCTAGAAAGGTATTTGAGTGAGTAAGAACACTTAGGAAGTTTTTAGAAGTTTGAAGTATTTAGGAAATTTACATTATGTCTAGTTGGTACTAGTAGCCAAATCTAGTACTGGTAGCCAAACCATTGGGAACCGGTAGCCAAATTTGGTACGGGTAGCAAATTGTTCAAAGTACATCGGATACCATTATGACTTTCTTGAACCAGTAGCCAAAATCTTGTACCGGTTCAAGGCATCCCGAACAGTTTGGAAACTTTCCTTTCTTATTCTGTTTAATTCCTTTTTGGACTAAATTTCCTTCTAAGTCCTATGTACGAAATTTTCTATATTTTCAGAGGGATTAGGACATTCTAAACTCTATATAAGCCTTGTTAGTCTTCTAGGTTTATTAATGGCTTTAAGGAACATTAATTTTATATTTTGAGAAAGTTTTTAGAGAAAGAAAATTCATAAAATCAAATATGATTATTTTGAATGAAATTTTGAGAGTACACACATATATTCATGAGTGATTTAGTAATGTTATTCTCTATCTCATCGGAATTGGAGCTATATTGAAGATTCAGAGATTCCGAAGAAAAAATATGATTTAATTCTTCTACATCGAGTTCAGATCTTGAAGAACAGAAGTAAAAACGATCACACTTTGAAAGGGTTGGAGCATTCAAGGAGTGTTCTCTAATCTACTTGCTACTCTTCTATAAAGATCAAACATAAGCCTGAGGTCAGGTTGCTATTGCACGGGACATCGCAAAGCTAGAGGATTGTCACAAATTGGTGTTTCATAGAAGGATAGGGTGTGAGCCAAAGTCAAAGTTCAGTATACTTTGTTTCAAACATAGTGGATCAGTTTACTTTAGACTGCATAGTCCACGAGATTTTTTCCATACAAACAGTTGACGTATTTTATTAACTAGGGTTTTTCTCGCTAAAAATCCAAATGCAATCTCTCTAACCTTAACTTGTTTTACTTTTCAGTATTTATATTTATGATTGTGGACGGTTAACTGATCAGATAATTTAATCAATCATAAATTGAACGAGTTGACATAATAATCAGATCTAGGTCATTAAAGGAGTTAATCAATTAAAATCAACTAATAGCTTCCGCACCCCGCGCTAACATTGTTTTCACATTTTTGGCATAGCCTATGTTGGAGTAGTATGGTCTAGTTTTTGTAGGTGGACTTTAATAGTGTATGTTTTTTCATCAAGCTTGGCATGATACCTAATTTAGGATTGGGTCTTAGCTCTAATACCAACAGTAACTGGTGCCCACTTGTTCATTTACCTGAAAACATATTGAGGCTTGTCAGTTGTCACATGGCTGCCCAGGAGTATTGGCTCCCGGAGCCATCAGGCGCCCAGTGGCAGCCAAAAAAAAAAAAAATCATTTACAGTTATATATGTATATAAATTTACATTATGCCCCCTCCTAAAATTATTTTTTTTCTAAAATTATTTTTAGTTCTTTCTTTCTTTTTCTTCTTACTCTAGTTTTTCGTCAATTTTTTTTATTCTCTCCGTATGAATTTGCATTCCCTTTCTTCAATTAAACTATAATTTTTTTCCCTTCACAAATCTCCCATATTTTTGTTTTTATTTTATTTTATTTTTTCTTCTTTGTTTTTAATTTTGTTCCCCCATAAAATTTCTTCTTCTTATACTCAGATACATTGTCTTGGACGTTAGATTTTTTTTTTTATGTCTATTACTAAGAAAAATGAACCAATCATATATTCCATGCGCTCGCTCCCAACAAAGTCATGCCGCAAGCATTGTGGCTAGTTGACCCCTCTTTTTCTAAAACAAATTAAATCTAAAAGTGAGCTCATTTAATTAGTCTCTGTTCTCATAAAATTAGTTAAATTTGTTAAATGGTTGGACTTGCTACTATTACTCTTAAAATATACTCAATGAAGCCATTTATTTTGAAAAAGTGAAATCATAGTTATTGCATCTTTTCATAAATGCCTTTAAATTTTAAAAGATTTCTAACTTAGACCCAATTTAACACTCTTATTCTTTTTTCTTTTTTTGTACTGTTAAGTACTTGTGTTATTTGAAAAGTTTAAGTGATATATATGCATCTTTTTAAAAATAATTTTTAACTTTTCCAAAAAAAAATTATGTTTGATAATATATACAATTAAATTTTAATACATAACTTAGAATTTAAAAGGAAAAAAAAATGTATATTAAATACATGTCCTATTAAATAATAGTCATGATAGGCATGAAAACAGACTACTATTGTATTGTGTATATATATAATTTCAAATTTAATAAGGCAAAAGCATTAAATGTCTAACGCTGGAATACCAAAAATGAACTGTACCAAAATGACAATATTAAATTGGACCATATTTGTGTGAACGGGCTAATTCAGACTAGTAGATAGATATATAAATAAAAAAATAAATAAAAAAACAAAATAAACAAAAAGACGCAAGATTAGACAAATCAATTTGAATATATACACTATAAAACTTAGGCATCCATCACAAACTACCAACAGCTCATTTTCCAAGTCAACATCATTCCATGTCTCACCAACAACACCACCACCTACATGGTAGGTGAAAGTTTCCGATCAGTCCACTGCCGGCGACATTCTTTTCCGGCGAAGCGGTAGGTAAAACAGCCTACGTGGAAAAAGTCTCATTTTCAAAAGTCAAACCTGACCTCAAACACCTAACCGTGGCCCCACTCCCACCCAAAAACCACTCTCACCAACCACACCACACCTCCTCCTCTGATTCTCTCCAATCCATCGAAACCACTTTTTACCCCCCAACAAATCAAAATATCCCCATCCACTCCCCCTCACCAACCACCCCCAACCTTCACCAAAAAAAACACACACACGTTTATATTTATATGTATCCATCACATAATCACTTCCAAGTTTCAACTCGCCACAAATCACACCCATCTATTCATTCCATAACTCTCCGACCACAATTTCCAATGGAGACCCAAACACTCCTCCAAAAAGAAACAATCTTCAGATCGAAACTCCCGGACATTTACATCCCGAAACACCTCCCTCTCCATTCCTACTGCTTCGAAAACGTATCCAAATTCAGCTCGCGGCCGTGCCTGATCAACGGCGCCACCGGGGAAGTCTTCACCTACGCGGACGTGGAGCTCACCGCCCGAAAGGTGGCGTCCGGCCTCGACCGGCTCGGGATCCGGCAGGGCGACACCATCATGCTCCTGCTACCCAACTCGCCGGAGTTCGTGTTCGCATTCATGGGCGCGTCGTACCGCGGCGCCATTACCACCATGGCCAACCCTTTCTTCACTTCGGGGGAGGTGATCAAGCAAGCCAAGGCGTCCAAAGCCAAACTCATCGTGACGCAGGCCTGCTACGTGGACAAGGTGAAGGACTATGCATGGGAGAATCACGTGAAGGTCATGTGCATCGACTCGCCTCCCGACGAGGGCTGCCTGCATTTCTCCGAGCTGACCGCGGGTGACGAGTGTGGCGTGCCGGACGTGGAGATCAGTCCGGACGACGTGGTGGCGCTGCCGTACTCGTCGGGGACGACGGGTTTGCCGAAGGGAGTGATGCTGACGCACAAGGGACAGGTGACCAGTGTGGCTCAACAGGTGGACGGAGAAAACCCTAACTTGTACATGCACAGCGAGGACGTAATGCTGTGTGTGCTGCCGCTTTTTCACGTATATTCGCTCAATTCGGTGTTGCTGTGCGGGTTGAGAGTTGGGGCTGCCATTCTTATTATGCAGAAGTTTGATATTGTTCCCTTCTTGGAGCTGATACAGAAGTACAAGGTGACGATTGGGCCGTTTGTGCCGCCGATCGTCCTCACCATCGCTAAGAATTCTGCTGTGGTCGACAAGTATGACCTTTCGTCGGTCCGGACGGTGATGTCCGGTGCTGCGCCGCTAGGGAAGGAACTTGAAGATACTGTGAGAGCCAAGTTCCCCAAGGCCAAACTCGGTCAGGTGAGGAGTTTATTTATTTATTTATTTATTTATTATTATTTACTTTCATAGAGTAACAATTCTATTAGCTTTAACTGCTTTTGGCATGTCTAGAAAAATAGTAAGGTATATGCTTTTTTGGGTTATCTTTAGTAGCTCACTGTCACCTTTTTTTCCATATTTGAGAGAAATTATCTATACTAGCCTCGCTTTAACTTTTTTTCCATATATGAGAGAGAAACTTTGTTTACATAAGTACAGGACCTAGAGGTAATTTTAGGGGAAAAAAATGAACACAGTCGGCGACCATTCGGTTTTTATTTTTATTATTATTAATTTTTTTTGTGTGAAATATGTGATTGGTCGGATTATATAATTTCGGACTATATAATAATTTATAATATTTTTAATAAAATTATTTATGAACAATATTTATATTTTGACTATCACATGTGTCGTGTAATGATGGCGCTCTATGTGTTCATTTTTAAATTTAAAAGAAAAAGGAGTAAAAATTATTATTTTTATTTTTAGTTTACATATTTAAAATTTAAAATAGATATGTGTTATTTTAATTTTGTGTCCCGTTAGTAGTTACGAAGATTTCCCTTTGACGCGGTTTTGGGATTGTTGGTTCGATTAATCACCGTGTGACATAGCGGGCAAAAATTTTTTTGACTGAAGTCTATAACACATTAACTGATATATCACGTGATGATTGAGTCTACACGATGTAATAATTTTTCAAGTATCAATATCAGGACATGGCAACTTTGGCACATGAAGTTGCTATATTAGCGAGGATTGTCATTTCATATATAGTTTGTAGAGGACTTTATCACAAACGTAGTCAGAACGATAGGGGACGTGAGAGGCTGTGACACAATAACTCCTATCCCTCTTGCATGTGGGACCTTGGAGAATTGCATGAGATAATTACACCTTGGTGTGCGTAGTGATCACTAAATGCGTTAAAAATTTTATTGGACCCTACGGTGCAACAGACATTTGATTAAAAACAGAAACGTATTTATAATGATTGAATGCGCCTATTACCAATAAGCGCAATAATTGCAACGGTGATTTGGTGAGCATAGTATGTATGGGGTTCAAACTAATCTTTGAAGAAGTATTGGTGCGGATCTATTTGTACTCGTTGTGCGGGTGAAAGAGGAGTCAATTGTTCATCGATCTTCTTTTTGCATGTCTTAGTTTCATCTGTTTTTTGAAAGTGTCTCCCTATCATAACGTTAAAAAAATAAGAATAATGAGTGGAAAATAAAAAATAATAATAAGAATAATGTTAACAAATTTTTATTTCTCATATTTTTAATTGAAAAATATAGGTCTCACTTAAAATATATTTTTAAATAATAAACCTTTCACTATAAGTATTTTAGGTTTAACTCGATCATTGGATTGAAACATCATTTTTCTCTCGTTAATTTGGCTTAATTTTAGTTTCATCATAAATTGTCTCCCTCTCTTGCTTCAATTATATTGGGAAAAAATAAATAAATAAATAAGGAAGCTAATTGCAGAATATAATAATGATTTGTGTGGGTGTGTGTGTGTGTGTGTGTATATATATATATAGGGTTATGGAATGACAGAGGCAGGACCAGTGCTGGCAATGTGCTTGGCGTTTGCCAAAGAACCCTTCGAAATAAAGTCGGGGGCATGTGGGACTGTTGTACGGAACGCCCAGATGAAGATCATTGACCCTGAATCCGGCGATTCACTGCCCCGGAACCAACCCGGAGAGATTTGCATTAGAGGTGACCAAATCATGAAAGGTATGTCCATATATATATATATATATATATATATTAGCTTATTTGTTAGTAATATGCTAGCAAAGGTATTAGAAATTGCATTTTTGATAACTTGCTAGTGCTTATTTGTTTTGGAATTAAGATTTTTTATTTTGATTTATTTTTATATGTCCAACTAAAAAATTAGGGTCTACATAAAGTTCATTTGATTTCAGAACGTGAGTCCAAATTTATCGTTATCGTTAAAGTTTAAGTACGTGGATCGTGCTACTATCCAGTGGCGGGAAGGAGTCAAAAATTATGTTCAAGGGGTATAATGCAATAAAACTTTTTGAGGCAGGGCAATTTTAAGATTTTACAGAATTATGCAGATAAAAATGAAAGTTTTTAAAGTTAAGGGGGAAAATATTTTAAATTTTAAAAAATTATACATACAAGAATAAAAAAAAATTCAAGTTGAGGGGAGCACATCCTTGATCCAGTGGTTTAGTAGGTAAGAAATTTCACTCTTCAAACACAAGTTTATTCACATTCGAATTTCTTGTCCCGTAATTTGTCAGGAAAAAAAAAAAAATCATATGATTAAAATTTAATATTATATTTCTTCCATTCCGTATTAAGTGTCACCTTTTTTTATTTGTGACCCACATTATTGTGAGTCACAAATACTAAATGCGACATTTGTTTCGACCACTGAAGGAGTATCAAAGTTGGCGGAATCCCAATGCAATAAATCTATAAAACAAGTATAACATTAGGTGTACCCACTAAAATATATCTGTGACATGTGTTGTGATGATTATAGTTCCTATGTGGTGGGTCAGACGTTTACATCATGTCCAGCTTTCAATCAATCTTAGGTTTCCCACATATATCTAGTCTCCATTCACAAATCTGTCTTTTTGTTTTCATGTTTGGCTTGTGCTCAGGACAAAGCTTAACTTGTGTAAAACACAAACTGAAACTGATCAACTCTACAAATTACTCAAATTTGATCAAAATGGTATTATTTGATTATAGATTGTATAAGTCACAGTTCTCCGAATATGATATTTTTTAATAAGATGGAGAGAGTTATAATTTAAAAAAATAAAGAAAATCTTCATGCATAAAGAGAAGTAAGAGAAATGCTGGGAGTGGTAGTAGTTGCACCAACAACACTAGGTTACATTCTGTATTATCATTATCAACTAAGGCTTACCTAATTTTCAAGATCGACCTTTTTCAACTAAAGTATGTTGGTTATTTACTAAAATAGCCTTTTAAGAGAGAGAAAAAGTAAGGCTTACCTACCACTTCCAAAATAACAGGGGAAAAAATTAAATAAAAAGTGAGCTAAAAGTGACAGCCCCCAAAACGTCAAAGAGATGTAGAAAAGGTCTATGGACCAAAATGCCCTAGAGACACTAGGCAGGACACAAGAACAACTCGGCATCAAAACAAAGTCCTAAAGGACTGAATTTTATTTTATTTTGTTTATTTATTTTGTGTTAAAAAATATTAACAAGAAAAACATTCACGCACTCAACGAGCTGAAATTTCAAAAAATAATTGTTGTATAACGGTCATCGACTCTAGTAGTATATGTCACCCACTAAATTTTTTGCGATGCCTATTATGAAAATTCTCCCAAGTGCATTAGGTTAATTGCCGCGATCAAAAAAAAAAAAAACTCTATTTAGTTTGATTTATAAAAATGCATCAATTTTTGAGATATAAATTAGTAATTAAGATCAAATCGAAGGGTGAGAGTGGTCTTATTATTTTCATGATAGTTTACATATTTTTTCAATAGTGTAATACATGACCTGACCAAGACAACCCAACCATTTTTCTTCTTTTTAAGGTGAGCAACCCTATTTGCTTCATAGTTTATGCACCCACTATCTCGTCGCATCTACTTTAAATACACACATAGAGACAAAAGCTGCAAGTTGCGGTAGTTGCACCAACATCACTAGGTTGCATTCTGTCACAAGTAAGCAAGGCTTACCTAATCTACCAGAAAACAAAAAAGTAAAATATAAAATTAAAAATAAAAATATTATATGATTGTGAATCAATAGACGATACGGAGGTAAATGTTCCAATTTTGTGTCGGTTTTATTCAATTTTTTATTTGCATACTGGCCGGCTAGTGATTCGGTCTTCTCTGTTTTGGGGTGCTTGTTAGATGCCTAGTCTGGGCCTTGTTTTACTGGGTTTGTTTGCTCGTGTTGAGATGGGTTGTTTGGTTTAGCCTAGGTTTGGTTCGTAACGATTTAACAGTTCTAACGATTTTTTTTGTTTACTCACAAAAGTAGGTGTGCGTGAATTTTTTGTCAAGGAAACATTATAGTTGGTAAAACGTCTACCTCCCCAGTGAATTTGCTCGTATTCAAATTCCCTTTTCCCTAATTTACCAAAAAAAAAAAAAAATTTATTGTCACCGTTAATAAAAATAAATTCAAAAAATACATTTTTTAAATGCAAGGGATTTAAAATAACTTTTTCCCAATATTTGACAGGTTACCTTAATGATCCTGAAGCCACGGAGAGAACAATAGACAAAGAAGGTTGGTTACATACAGGAGATATAGGTTTCATCGACGACGACGAGGAGCTATTCATTGTTGACCGGTTGAAGGAACTCATCAAATTCAAAGGCTTCCAAGTGGCTCCCGCTGAACTTGAAGCTATGCTACTCAACCATCCCAAAATCTCTGATGCCGCTGTTGTCGGGTAAGCTTTTTAGTAACCTTATAATTTATCACCGAATACATATAATTTTTCGACTAAGCTCAAAAATATTCGAACCCTCCACCTCCAGAATGAAATTGAGAACTTTACAATGGTTTTGATGTTTTGAAGATAGTGTTATTAGAAATTAAAGTAAATGTTTAAAATAGTGTCATTAGAAAGTAATGTTATCATAACGGTCAAATGAATTTATTGCCCTAGCATTTTCCGAATGAACTCTCACCGGTCACAATTAAAATATATTTGCAGCATGAAAAATGAAGACGCAGGAGAGGTTCCAATAGCTTTTGTCGTCAGATCAAACGGTTCTGATGTGACGGAGGATGAAATCAAGCAATACGTATCAAAACAGGTATTATATTGATTATTTATTTATTTTTTGACATTCTCAAAGTTATTTTATATTACAACCAACATACTTTCATGACCCCAAGAAAAAAAAAAAAATAATGCTTTCACGCATTGAGATTTTATGGTATAGGTTTTACCTACTGGTAACATTAGATTAAGGAATGAATCTGGCTCGAAGACCAACCGAAACGGGTCAAATGTTTCGCGATCCGTTCCAAAAACTTGAATTATTAAGTGCGACTAATACCCAACCAATTTATACCTATTCATTTTTCCATCTGGATTCGATGTAGGACAAGTCCTCTTGTAACAATAGTAGTGTTTGGACACCAAAAAACATTTAGTCTAGCGGTATAACCTTCTCATCCTTCAACAGGAGGAGGAGGGGAAGAGTTCGAACAAAAAAGAATGTGTATATTTGCTTCCTCATTAATAATAATAATAAAAAGAAAGCATGGTTCAATTTTTTAAAACAACTTTGATGAATTCATAAAATAGTACTATATAAGAGAGAGCCAACTATGACTTTCTTAAAATTAGGTGCTTACTCTTCAATCTTCATCATTCATTAGAAACTAGAATGAACCTAAGATATTTAATTAACAAAAGTAATATTCTTGTGAATATATATGTATATATATATATATATATATATATATATATTTATATGTAGTACACTTGAAAGAATATTCCCTAAGAGATAGGACAAATGAAATGTGTGTGTGTGTGTGTGACTGTGTGAGAGAGAGATTCAATTATATAATGAGTTGCAGTGGTTATAATTCACCAGGTTATGTAATAATGCATGTGATTTTTATGCAGGTGGTGTTTTATAAGAGAATAAATCGCGTGTTTTTTGTTGATGCCATTCCAAAGGCACCCTCTGGCAAAATCTTGAGGAAGGACTTGAGAGCAAGACTAGCATCTGGTTTTCCAAACTAATTTCGTGGTCCAATTAAGTAATTTGCCTCTGTCCTCTACTATTATTTTTTAATGTGCCAAAACAGAGGCCAAAACTTGACCTTTATTATTATACACTTGATTGTCAGTTTGAAAAATAATGCTTTTCTTTTTCTTTTTTACCTGTATGTAAAGTTTTATCAGAGAACAATTGTGAAATGCTAAAAGACATTATTTCTGTAATATTTGGTATGTGCATGGAAGGCATGTTTTTAATTTCTACCCATTAATTTATATTCTGTTTTATTTTTTATTTTTTTCTAAGAAAAGGTCTAATGAATTATATGGACTTTGACCTATAGAAATCAGCATTAAAAATTCACTTCGGATATGGCTCATTTATTCGCTGAATTTTGGAGTTTAGCAAGCCCAATGTCTGAGATTCGAGTCTCGCTAGGTGTTTTTTGTGGCTAGCATCTGCTGTCTCTGCAGTGACTTACTCGGCCCGCGTGGGGAGACTCCCTTTTGGGTCATCGAAGATTAATCGAGTTGTTGAGGGACACTAAGGGTTCGTACTATTCCAGACACCCCATGTTAATAAAAATAAATAAATAAATAAATTCAGCATTAAAAAGTGTACGCAATTGGCCCTGCCATGGCATAGACCCATTAGCAAAGGCTTTACATTGGTCATGTTTAGTTGCGGGCCGCAAATTTGGGCTTAAATCTTGGCAGAGCTGAACATAAGGCCCATTTGACAACCCCACCATTTCAACTATGTACTTGACATCATCTGTATCTCTAAGCGATGGGTCTAACTTTCTAGAATATAACTTGCGTCTTCGCACGCACCAACAAAGTAATCTTTGACAAATGGGTTAAAGTTGCAAAAAACTCTTTCTACTGTTGATATAGTGCAAAACAGTTTCGTATGATATAAAACTTCCTTATATTATTAATTTAGTACAATTACCCTCCTATTTGCATAAAAAGGCATTAATATCCTCTCTAATATACATTTCTAGGTTAAGTGCAAAAAAAACCCTGATATATAGGGTTTGTGCATAAATAGTTCATACTTTTTGAAAATGCGCATTTCAGTTCATAAAATTCAAAAAAGTTACAAATAAGTCCCTCTGATCACATTTTTATCCTCATTTGAAAAAACATATACTATATATATATATATATATATAATACCATAGTTTCCTCTTAAAAGAATCCATATTAGACCACACCGATGAGTGTCTGTACGAAAAAAGTAATTTACTGCCTTTGGATTGAAGAAAGTATGATCCACAACATCCTTTTGAGTCCTTTGAAAACGCAAAATGAGCAAATGCATGCAATTTTAAAATTAACAGTGATTTTAATTTCAAAAAATAAAGAACAGTGATCATTCTTGAAATTTATCATAATTACTATATAAACCAAATGCATTATTTATTCTTTGACAAATAAAACCAAAGAATTAAAACAACACAATAAGATATGATTTTTTTTTAAAAAATAAACATAATGAATATTCAAATAAGTCATAATGACATAAAATAAACATACAATATTCATTATGAATTATAAGTTGTCCACCATTCAAGATGACATAAAATAAACATACAATATCCATTTGAATTATAAAAATTAAAACAACACAATAAGATATGATTTTTTTTTAAAAAATAAACATACAATACCGTTACTAAAATCAACTAGAAAAAAAAAAAAAAAAAAAAAAAAAAAAAAAAAAAAAAAAAACAATAATATAGCTTGAGCTAATCTTATAAAAAAAAAACCTAATTTTTTGGGCCAATATAACCATTACGGTACTGTTTGGGTTAGCGAAAGATTGTCTAAAAAGCTACAATGTCAGTAGGTATGTAAATTTTCTCCCTTTTATTTTACTTTTAAGCCTAAAAAAGTCTTTAAGGCACTGTCAGCCAAATAGTGCTTGACGGCTCTTTGGGTTAGTTGTGTTGAAGGAAAAAAACAAAACAAAAACAAACAAAGGCCAAAAACAAATCCAAAAAGGTGATTTCTCGGAGCTTTTTTAGCCAAACTGGCCCTTAACCCAATTCTATGCTAAGGGCTATAGCGGACTGGTCCCAAAAAAAAAAACAAAAAAACACAGGCGGGCCCGTGAATTGTTAAACTTAATTGATTATTTGAAATTCTTAGAATTTTTTTATTTATTAATTTGTGATGATTTATGATATCATAGTTATTGATTAATTATATTTAATTAGTTTATTTTTTCATTATTATTGTAACAGTGTCAATTTGTATAAAATAAAATTTTATTTTATTATTTCTAACATTTTTACAAAGATATATGATACATAATAAAATAAATAATGTATGTATATATAGCTGAATTTTTTGTCCCCAATTTTTATTCCATCCAACGTATTATATATGTACGTATCCATATTTGAATTTTTATATTTTCGTAAAAAAATCAAATTATATACTCTTACTTTCCAAATCTTTTTTTAGTACTTTATTTTACTAATCATATCTATGTTATATATGATGAATAACTCTCTATCCTACCTAACTTTATAACTAGACTACATATCAATGGCTTGAATGTTAATCCGAAACTGAACCAAATCCTAACTTTATAACTAGAGTACATATCAATGGATTCAATTTTAATCCGAAATTGAACCAAATCCAAAATAGTTATGATATGAATTGTAATATTTATTCTCATAATTCTATTAACAATCCAAATTCGATTAGTTAAATAAACAAAATATAAATTTGATGGATCCAATCCTAATCCGAAATGTTGACAGGTTTACAAACACTCTCCCTAATAAGAATGGCAACGGAGGCGGGTTTGGGCGGGTGTACCCTCTCCCGCCCTCGCAATTGTTCAAAAATTTCGCTTCCATCTCTGCCCAAAATCGCAAAAATGAGGAACTTTCTATTCCATTTCCGTAACCATTTAATATTTTTATCCTCGCGGGTACCTGATCCGCCTTGTTTTAGACTATAATTTATTTATTGTTGAAATAGATTTACTTTTTTTTTTTTCCCTCATTTTCAATTCTTTATCATTGCAATTTTTCTTTTAATCAAATTCATTTGTTACTTTAATATTATGACATGGGGTACTTAATATATAGTAGTAAATATATATACTAATGAAATAAGAATATATTTATGTAATTTGCCTATTTAAAAGGGGCGGGACGACCTCCCCGCCTCTGCACCAAATCTGCGCGAGTTGTTTTTACATCAAATCACCCTGCCCAAATAAACAAAACGATTCGCCAAAAATAGAGCAGGACGGGATGGATAACTACGAGAGTGAGTCAAATTGCCATCCCTGCTCGCAACAGGGTTTTGAGGTTGAAAAGCCATAAGTTCAAAAGCCATCCAAACGGGGCCAAAGAAATGTCGAGGACCCGAGGTGATTTTTCAAAATCTGGATGGATAAACTTCAGGACACTTTAGCGTAATTTACCTTTTACGGAATAATAAATATTGCAATTCAACGGTTAATTGGGGGAGGTCAAGGTTGGGAGAGAGAGAGTTGCGGAATGGCGAAGTCTTGCAAGGGTCTAGCAATGGAACTAGCCAAATGTCTCAGCGAATCCCACTGTGTTAATGTAAGCTCCCTCTCTCTCACACACACACAGACACACATATATATATCCATGTACGGTTTCTATCAATGGTTTTTCCTTTTTGATTTCCTAGTCCATTTCTTTCGGCTTACATGTTTTTTTGCCCCTCACAAATTGATAATTTTGATCATTGTTCTGTTCTATCATCCAATTATTTGCATTAGAAACTCATACTGTTTTTTTTCATTCTTGATGCTACTCAGATGAAACTTCATTTTAAATCTTCAATTTTTCATTTATTTGTGTTCCTGCAACTATAGGTTTACCCTTGGAAATAGTAGTATTGATAAAATTATTATTTAAATGAAAATTTTCAGAAAATTAAGATGCAGATTCGAAGCTCAGATGGCCCCCATACTATATATTTCTGTATACATGTTTGAGTGTTATGTATTTGCTTGATAATTGATTAGTGTTATTACTGGCTGCATACCAGCTGATCGAATTAATGCTAGGCATCATGATAATTCTTCTTGGTTTTAGCTGTGTTCGTGTTTTGCTTAAAAAAACTAAGATTACAGCTCTAAATGATACAACTTATAAGAGAAAGATGTGAAATATCAACATTTGCGAATAGCCAGATACGTACATATATGTGTATATATCTATTTAAGTTTGATAGTTGTATATATGTATAGGTATTGTTCATGCAGCCTTGAATTATTACATGGGTTGCTTTTGTCTAGGTTGAGAAGCGGCCATATAGGGAATGTGCTAAAGAAAAGAGTCCATCCATATCAAGCGAGTGCGTTGGACTAAGGGAAACATATTTTAATTGCAAGAGAGGCCAGGCATGTTTTTCATTCTCTTAGAAATATTTCTTCATTAGCAAATTTATGTTCTTTATGCATGACTTATAAATAAATTTTACTAAAATATGTTTGTGGTGAGAAATCATTTTAAATTCCATCGACTCCTGAAGCTTGACATCATAATTGTCTGTGTCAAAATACTTTTTCATTATGTAACTGAGCATCCATCGGTATTTAAATGGTGATCATGACAATCTTACTTTGAAATTCGACCTCTAGCTTAAATTCGTGACAAACTTGACTGAAATTTAAGTCTTTAGGTTAGCTATATATTTATTAATTATATTTACCAAAATTGAATAAAAAATGGACTGGTTTGCATATGTGCATAGATCATCATATAAGATCTTTATTATGTCATTCATATATTTAGACTTCATTTGGTTGTCAAGACCATCTAATTTCCATAATCTAAATATTACCAGAAAACCTATTGAGCTCACATTTCACAGAATTTATTAAGAAAACTTGACATGATTTTGAAAAAAATTGGTTAAGACATAGGTAGAGAGCCATCTTGTAGCAGACTTAATTGATATTCATGTATTTCTCGTATTTGATTAAACAACATTCACAGCATGTAGTACACTTCATGGTAGTTTAACAGTGACATTAGATGGTGCTTGACTAAGAAGCATGGACATGGACATGGACATGATATGACATGGATGCATCAACACGTCAAATTCTAAAAAGGTAGGACATTGACACGTCGTGGAGATGGCTGATAGTCTAATACAAATATAAATTTTCATTTATATATCTATTGAATAAGACAATAGTAGAACTTTCATTAATTTATAATTTCTATACTAAAGTTACATAAGTTAGAAGATAAAGCTATTCAAACATAAGATATATATTATATTATATATGATATTACTTCTATTGTGTCATTATAGTTATGTTTTTCTTATTGTGACATGTGTTTAGTGTCAATTTTTTAAAGAAAAAGAGGTTAGACACTTCGATGTATGTTCATAATGTTGTTTCCAGGACTGTTGTGTTTGTTTTGTGTAAGATGTGTTGATCGAGTGCCCGGAATTTGTTAACCAAGTGTCTAAAATGTGTCAGCCAACGGTTTGAATTAACAAAATTTTTTTAAATAAAAAATTGCAGGTGTCACCATGAAGTGTCAGACATGTGTTCAGGAGTGTCCATAAAGTGTCGGTATCCGACACAGACACGGCACCTTCATAGAAGTGTCCGGGCTTCTTAGGTGCTTGATTGAAAGAAGAATTTATTTATTTGTTTTCCCCGTGGCAATTTCTTATGATAAATTAGCTCCAATCAAGGAGGAAAGTGGCGAAAAATGAGTACTTGTCTGGCTGCAGCAATAGCAGCGTGCAATCATGCTAGAGAACATCTATATGTCATTGAGTCTTTTATTCTAGAAACACGGACTCTCAACGGTAGCTGATTTTTTAACTACATTTCACTCGTGAAAATGATAACAAAATGATATCCATCTTACTTGAGGATAATGGGTTTATGTGGGAAACATTGTTGTAGGGTTTTTTCAATGAGCTTGAGTTACAAAATTTTGTTTTTCCTCAACCGCTTCTTCATCAGAATCTAGCATATTTTACTTCATCTAGAAACAAGAAGTTTTACCCCTCTTCATTCCACTCCAGCTCTGCATCCACTTTCACTAGAATATGGAAAGATAATAAATCATTCTTTCTACAAATTGGTAAGTTACTTAGATGTGGTTCTCTTGTTGTGGAAAGCCAAGATGTAGTCCAATTCACCATAAAAATATTCCTAAGGGTATGATCAAGTAATAAAGTGATAGAGGAGAGTGATGATTTAGCCAAGTATTGAGAGGCTTTGAATGCCATTTGTATTGCTCGGTTGATGGAACGATGGTGCTGTCGATTGAAAAGGAATTTTTTCCTGATAAATTGGATGTGAAATTTGCTTATAAATTATATGCGTTGCTTGCTTTTAAACTGAGGAGGGCTGTTTTGGGTACCTTTAGATTGCATTTTCTTTCTCACCGTGCCTGCTTTGTCTTGTGAAGATTCCCGGATGATGTGGTAATTACGTATGAGTTTATGATTCTTGAGCAGGAGTGGATACTGGGTGCAGTTATTTTTAATTGATTTGGACAGTGTCAAAATGTGGATTAGAAGTTTCAATCATAAACTTTGAGCTCAAAGTTTATGATTGAAACTTCTAATCCACATTTTAGATGAAAGTGTGTGATATCTGAGCTTTAAGTACGGTATTCTGGATGAACTCTCAGTTGCACTTGCTTTAAGAGGTATAAGTTTGGAAAATTTTGTGCTTGTGATTTCTTTTTCTGTTCATGGTTGAAAATTGTCTAAAGTGTAGAATGTAGGTGTTTCAGCAAATCTAGCTACACGGTGAGGCATTTACTACTTCTAGATGAGTTTATTCTCGATTTCCCTATGGATATTAGAAGTAGAAATGAGTGCTATGTGTTCATATGTGTTAATCGACTTGTTTGCATTGAAGATAGGACTAATTCGTAACAAGCATTGAGAAACATTTTACCGGACAGACCATTATGGAAGAATCTGCTTGTACCTGTTCTTAGTTACTTCCAAATGACTTTTTTTCTGTAGGAAATCTAGGTAAACATGGTGCAAATTTAGCCTGCTTCATGCCCTTCTCCAGCGATACTTATACACAAGCAATAATTTGTGAGGCAATCTGGTAGTACATGGTGAGAAGGCGACGATTAAATTTGTATGACATACATTTGAGTGCTAATCCAAACTGCATAAATTAATCATCCAGTTCACAATTAAGAACAGTGGACTATGTATTGAAAGGTTTTAGAATCACTCCAGTTGTATGTTGTTGATCTAAGAAAGCACAACACTTCTATGCAGGTTCCACGTCCGTGTTGAGCACATGTAGGACACTGGTACTTCATGGATACTCCTGGCCCTGTGTTTGGCACATCATGGACATGTTCGTAAATTTTAAAAACAAATTTCATTTTGGACGTTTAGCCGATTCATCTGAGACACATCCCAGACACTCCCTAACACAACTCTTGTATAACACAAACACATCTAAGAGTAGCCACGCCCAACGATATTGAAAACAATATGAACATACCTAAAAGCGTCCAACCTTTTCTTCTCTAAGAAAATAAACATTATACACAGTCATCACAAATCAAGGATGCAATGACAAGTTTTCATATAGGACGAAAAAATAATTGTAATGACAAAGTAGAAGAGTAGTAGCCTGTATATTATGATACTCTTTACCATCTTAACTTAGCTTAATCTTCTAAATGATATAACTCATACTGTAAGAACCAAAAGTATCAATGAAATTATATTATTTTCTTATTCAATATATGCATAAATAAAATTTTATTTTTGTATATAGTCGCATCACTTCCGTGCCATGTACTTTTGTAGGATTTGACTTGTCACTTTGTCAGCATATCTGGTGCCAAATGTTCCTTGGATTGCTTTTTATGATTTGTATTAAGGTCCAACGTTTCATCATACACAACTAATTGTGCCTTTTTTGCGCCTTATACTTTGCGCAAGGCAACCACAGGCACACGGCTCCTAAAGTTTGTTGGCCTGGGTATGCAACAGTTGCGACCATGAGAGGTGAACCTCTTTTCACCTCTCGCTTTTCTCGCCCACCTTTAACGACATTGTCTTAGGCTACTTATTTATCGACAATGATAGCTTTGTGACCAAGTAATGGGCTATCTCTTAGATGATTCATACCTTTGTGATTAGACCAGTCACCTTAGGTTGCCTATACTATACTCATGGTGAATAAGCAGTTATCCATTTGTTAAGAACTGAAAAAGAAAAAAATGCTCCTTGCACTGTTGGGCTTTATGGCATGTCAATAGGTGATCATCCATCTCTCTTCAACTATTTTGACATGGTTGACCCCCACCCAGTTGTTGGTCCATTTGTATGTACATTCTACTTGTAGAGCAGAAAGACCGACAACTCATTTCACCATTTTACTTTTTGTGCAAGCCTTATCATTGTTTTATAAACCTAATAGTCATATATTTAATAATCCTATTACTCATCTTTAGCGATCACTTTGTGCAGAGTTGGAGATCCCAGAGTTAGAGTTATGATAGGTATAACTAGGGCGAGGAGGAAAATATGATGGAGAGACATAGAAAGAGAACATAAGGAATAGAGAGGGTCGGAATGAGTGAATCATTCTATCAAGCTGACAGGGAATAGGAATGTGGAATGCCGGATTCTGTAAAACGTGGTACAATGGGAAGGCTTATGTAGTCTTATTAGTTAAAATGTGATGAGTTGTTCAAACTCGAAGAGTGGTTTCTTTTATCCTGTAATGGTTAGTAACATCAAAAGTACTATTTTTCTATATATTTCTGGAAAAAGTTGAAATCTACACGTGCCATGGCCTTTTCCTTCTAATTTTGTTTTCTAAAATATCACATCTAAAAGAATTCTAAACATAATACTCGATGTTTGTCTTATTAAGAGAAAACTAAACAAAGAATAAGAAAGAACTTTTAGGTTTATTAAAGTTTTTGTTCTGGAATGAAAGTTTTTGCTGTTTTGGAGTGTAATTTCAAAAGTGCGGATTGTTGGACTTTCAGTGTTAGCATCATCAACAACAACAAACAAACAAAGCCTTTTTCCAACTACCTGTGGTCAGTACATAAATCCTATTTTTCCATTTTGTTCTTCTAAGTCCATATCCTCAGTCAAACCACATGTTATACTGTCCTTTCTTACTAACCTTAGTCATGTTAACTTTGGTCTTCCCCTTCCCCTTTCCCTAGCATTACCCTTAATTTTGTTTTTTCTCATTTGATCTGCAATTAACGGTACTTCAACCACATCGGGAATGTGTTAGTTTCTAATTCCATAATTTCTTGTCTTTGTGCACATCTCAACATTCACAGTTCCACCACACTCACTTTATGCATATGCCAACTTTTTAGCTGCCAAACATTCTGTCTCATAGAGTATGACTGGCTGTTTTTATAGAACTTCTCTTTCAATTTTAACAAGATACACTGATCACACAATATATTATATGTACTCCTCCCATTTAGTCCATCAAGGCACATCATCTACAATTTCTCCTTCATTATGGATAATTGAGCCTAAATACTCACATCTATAAGAATTCATTTATAATACTCGATGTTTGTCTCATTAAGAGACAACTAAACAAAAGAATAAGAAGGAACTTTTTTTGGGATATGAAAGTTTGTGTTCTGGAATGATTGTTTTTGCTGTTCTGGAGCGTAATTTCAAAAGTGAAGATTGTTGAACTTATACACAACGCTTAATTGTCAAAAATGCACAAACTTGGTCTTCGGGCTGTGAAGGTAAAACACTTATAATTGCAGCCCAAATGATGCATATCTTCCCTTGGTTCTTGTAATGGGTAAAGGAAAAGGATCTACCAGACTTCCATTGGTTAGATATGGGTAAAAGAGAAGGATGTAGAAAAGTTTTATTCAGACTAAAAAATTATACAAGTGCACATGCAAAGAATTTGTAAACTGAGGAAGAAATTGAGTGTTCTGGGAGAGGCATATTGGATACAACATTACATTTGGCATTTATTTGCACCAGAATTTGAACCCACATTCTCATGCTTAACAGCCTGAGCATTTTACCACTGCACCAGTCAATGTCCCGTACATTGTACAAAATATTACGGAAGCACTTGTTTCAAATGAAACCGAATAAGAAAACCATAACTTGTAATATCATTTTGAGAATAGATTTGTTGGTAGATGGCTTCAAGTTGGAAACTAAGATGATTCTTGTACCCCCTTGAACAGGTTGAAAAATCCTATTGTTGTTGGAAAAAGATATATGCACAATAACCAACAAAAATCACCTTATCAGATGACAACAACAATTTTTTTTTTTTTTTTTTTTTTTTTTTCACTTGTTATGATTGGTTAGAGGGCAATTGCGGTGTCACTGAATGAAGTCTCCATTTCTTCTGGAGGCGCTCGCCTATTGGGATACCAGCCTGTGGGCATTGCTTCCCTTTATAATAAAGAATTCTGGCTCGACCCAGGAAAGTGCGGGCAACAACCGAAAGGAAGGGGTCCATAGGAAATATTGTTACAATTTGGCCTGAAATTTTGCTTGACTCATCATCTTCCCTCTTATTCATTCTCCAGGTTGACATGAGAGCTCGAATTCGTGGAAATAAAGGCTACTGACAAGTGGGATTGCGGATTCAATTATGTGAATTATAATTGACGGAGCTTGACAGGTGGGATTTTGCTTGACTCCCTACCTTTGAATTCACTTGCCAACTTCCTGAATTACACAGAGTGATTTTGTATTAATGCCTTTTTCTGAGAAAGCATTGCATGAGCCTGTTTGAGGACCACTTCCTTGAAGTATGTTAACTTAATTGATGATTTTTTCTCGTCTGTCCTACGTTTCAAACTCTCGTCTTAAATAGATTTGTATTGACAAGAATTCTGGATGGTTGGTATTGTTTATTTTCTATGCACAATTACAAACAAATCAATGCTGTCCTTCAAGGAAAGTGCATATGGCTCGCTCGATTCATTCATGCAAGCGTCAGGTTTTATTTAAAGGGTGTGCCTTAGAGCACCGTTTAATGGTGATTTGTGTGCCTATGAATTGCCATGAACATAGCCCTTAAAAGACCAAGATGAGAAGAGAGACTGCTTCTTTGTAGTTAACAATCATTACCATTAATCTCCCTTCCTAAGGATTGTTTGGTTTTGCTTATTTTATCTAAAGAAAGAGTAACTTCTAATTGATACATTTTTTTTAATTTTTTTAATTTTTTTTTCAAGTTAGGTCTTCAGTGGCTTGTTATTCGGTGCTACATTTTTCATATATTACTCAGATTCTAACCTTAAAAAAATTTAAGTTAAAATACAGAAATTGGTAGGATTTGAGGGACATCATCGGTACAATTGGGAACCCAAAGTCTGTTCTTGTTTCCCAGCTGTAGGTGGTTGATTATTGTTGAGAGCCACCTGGTGAGCTGATTTCACCAATAATAATAATAAAAAATAAAAAAAAAAGAGAGAAAAAAAGAGATCCATCCTTCGAGAAATGCCTAAACTCTTCTATCCGCTCCACCAAACCCTCTTAATGGCAATTATTATAGGATTCTTTTATAATCAAATGTATTAAGGATGTGTTCGGTTACATGGAATTGGAGTTTTAGAATTTGAAAAATATTTGGTTCAACTTTTTTAGTTGTTTTTCTACAATTTCAAAGCTCCAATTCCATGTAGGATTGTAAATGAACCAATCATTCAATAAATAGCTCGAACTCGGCTCGTTAAGAGCTCGGTTCGTATTTATTTGTTTAATAAACGAATCAAGTTCAAACAAAATTTTTAAGCTCGATTAATAAATGACCCAAACTCAAACAAGCCTCTGTTTGATTTGTTTGTTTAGGAACATGTTTGTGAACAAAGCTCGTTAACATATTTGCAAACATAAGTAATTATATCTAATAATTTATTAACATAAATAATTATATAAATTAATATATTAATAATAAAGAGAGTCTATACATTTAATTAATACCAAACCAATTAAAATTGAAAAAAAAAATAAAATAAAATAAACTTAACTCTTAGCCCAACTGAGGCCCATAAATAAACAAACCCCTAAGCCCATATATAATGCCTAACCCTAATCTAACCTTATCATATATTTTCCTTCACATTGCGGCACACAGTAACTGATGAAAGCTTTCCATCTACAGTGTGTCTCTCTTCATCGACTGTCTTATTTTCTACCACAACCTCTATCTTTCTCACACATATGTATACAATGTGTGTGTGTGTAATAATTTCTCACACATATGTATACAATGTGTGTGTGTAGTATATATATATATGTGCGTGTGTGTGAGATAATTTGTGTTTGCATCTGAATATCTCTTAACTTCTAGTATTTCTTCTTAACCCAATATGTATGTGTGCGATATGAAGTGTCTGGTGTGATACACAGATGCGATAACGAGTCGGCTTGATTGGTCAATGAGATATGAGCTCGGCTCGGAACGTCATGCTCAAATAGCCTACTCCTCGACGCGGTTCATTTACAATCCTAATCCTCGACTCTGTTTATTTACAATCTTAATTTCATACAATCGAACACACCCTAAATCAAATCTGTATTTTATATTGTACATTGATTATTCACCAAGTCAGCCACTTTTGATTTGCAGTACAAAATTACAATCCCTCCAAAATTTGAGATTTTGATCTTCCTATTTCTGGTAATCCCTCCAAAATTTGAGATTTTGATCTTCCTATTTTTTGGTGGAAGGCCAGGTATTTGCTATATATGTTTGACTATCTAAAGGAGAATTCTTCTTGGACTGTGTTCGGTTATATGGAATTGGAATTGAAATTGAAAAAAAAATTTAGTTGAATTGGAATTGAAATTGAAATTGAATTGAAATTGAAATTGGAATTGAAATTCAATTTTTCCAATTCCAAAACTCTAATTTCATACAACCGAACATAACCTAAATGATTGATAAAACTGAAAATTAAATAATGAAAATTTTAAGAACTAAATTTTAAGTACCAAAGTTTTTAAGTGGTAATTAAAAAATAAATATATTTTTAAAAAGTTCAGAATTCATTGTCACTTAAAATTTTATCCCATTTTAAGTGACACTTACTTTTTATCCCACAAAGCTCCAATTTCATACAACCGAACACAACCTAACTGATTGATAAAACTGAAAATTAAGTAATAAAAATTTTAAGAATTGAATTTTAAGTATTGAAGTTTTTAAGTAGTAATTAAAAAATAAATATTTTTTTAATATTTTTTAAAAAAATTTAGAATTCTCTGTCACTTAAATTTTATCTCATTTTAAGTGACACTTACTTTTTATCTCATTTTAAGTGACACAACTGTTTTCAATGATATTCAAATTATAATCAAACTTACTTAATTAGATAAGCTCTGAAGTCGTTCAGAATTAAACATCGATTAAGTTATAAAACAACACTTTAGTGTTTACTTTCTAGATCCTCAGTGTTGCTTAAAATAATACATTTGGTAATTTGTTAGAAGGTTATGGGTAATAAAGTTAGAATACTAGTATATAAATTGGGGCAGGATATAGGGACAGAAATGCACCAAAGTGCCATCCTTTTTGCCTATTCATGTTTTTTCCTTGACAAATTAGGGCAAGGTACTCGAACATTTTAGTATAATTCCCATTAAGCTCAAGTGGTTTTGACCTTAAGTTGAGTGTTTTTTATTACAAAACTCTGATGCCCATTGCTATTTCTCTAATTCTTTATATTAATATATTTTGCATGCAAGTGCATAATTTAGTATTTAAATAAGAAAAAGATAATATAAATAATTCAATAAAAATGAACATATTTGGAAAAAAATAAAAATAATAGAAAAATGTACCAGTGGAGTATTTAACTTAGTTGAAAACAATTTTAGTATTTTACAAAGTCAGACTTTAACTCATTGTTCATTGCAATTTTAAAGTAGCTAATTTTTTTATTCTATTTTTTCCTAATTAGTACTCACCCACACTTCTGTGACTTAAATTTTTGACCTTTTTTTGAGAAATGAGAGATTGTTGATACCCTAGGCCATTGTTAGTGAAGTAGCTAATTTATAAGAGTAAATATTTTATTATTATTTTATTTATTTATTTTTTTTTTTTTTTTGTCTTTTAAATCAACCAAGATTCAATTTTGTAATTGGAAATTTTCTTTTAACAAAAAATAGTTATTATATGAGGGCAAGAGCTAAGTGAGATAAAGTCAGATCCGGGGCCCTGAGAGCGGCATAATTGACTTAATGCAAGAATATAGTCTCACAAACTAATTAACGCCACGTGGGCCTCAATGTAGGTTTAACCAACGGTAATTGTGAATCAAGCAGTGCTCTCTTGACGTTGGAAAGTAATTAGGTTATTCACATTACTGTCCTCGATTCTCTTATCACACCTCAAATTGACTGTCAATCAATCTTAATCCATCTCACGCCCAAGCCCTCCATGGCCACCATGCTCAATGCCGCTCGTCCTCCTCAGCCCGTCAAGGCGGAACACCACCCCTCGCCACCGCCGGAAACAACCCCTATCAAAAAAGAGCAGAAAACCCTCACCAACCCAACCAATCCAGCACCACTACCAAAAGCTTTCAAAATCCATCGACAGCAACAACCTAGTTTCATCAATTCAGTGACCCAGCTTCGCGATCTCTCCACTGCCCTAGCCGCCTTTCAACGCCGCTACGACGAGTTGCAGGAACACCTCGATTTCATTGGAACCGCCATCGACTCCAATTGGCCAAAACACCTGGACGCCGATCCCTCGCAAGAATTGGCAGTCGTTCCGGTAACCGAAACCCCAGCCTCGGACACCGATGGAATGCCAGAATCGGTTAATTCCGAACAAAAGAGGGTTGAGGAGAAACCGTCTCGATCCGAGCTTGAATTCTTGTGCGAAATGATGAAAGGCACAGACCTTCGTAGGTATATCGGATCGCGTCTTTCAGATATTGCTAAAGTGAGAAAAGAAGTGACTACGGCTCTGAAATGTGCACCGAACCCGGCAAAACTTGTCTTAGAATGTTTCGGCCGGTTTTTTCTTCAGAGCAGCAAAGCATTCAGTAAGGACTCTCCGCAGATTCGGTCTAGGCAAGCTTCATTTTTAATTTTGGAGTGTTTTCTGCTGATGGGATGCGATAGTGTTGAGATTGAGCCTGCCGTGAAAGAAGAAGCAGAATTGGCGGCGGTGACTTGGAGGGAGCGGCTAATGAAAGAATGTAGCTTGGCAAAGGCTAATGAGATTGAAGCCCGGGGTTTGATTCTTTTCTTGGCTTGTTTTGGCTTCCCGGGTGCGTTTAAGTTTGATGATGTTAGGGGTTTAATTCATTCCAGTAATGCCAGGAAGATTTCTAGTACCCTTTGTCGGTCAAATATTCTCATCGCAAGGACTTCTGGTATTTCCCTTGCTTACAATTATATTTCTTGCTAAATTATGCATTTAGCCCATTGTTTCTTCTATTGTCATATTGAATGTTCGTGATAGTGTTATTTGAGGTGATTGAATTGCGTTATATTATGGTTTAGTTATGTGTTGTATATTATTTGCATTTAAGTTCCACATAAGTAAAAATGGGTAAGACGGCCTTTTGGGTTATAGATTAAATTTGTCAAAAACAATGCTTGTAAAGTTAATGGCACTAAGTTTGTTCAATACTAAGGTAAAATGGTTGGCAAAAATTTATTGCATTATCAATTAATAAATATGGTGGGATAGAGTACCTTCATTCCATGACACCTACATTTTATCGAATGTTTATTTTTATTCCATGATGCGGCAATGGGGTTGCAAATGAACCAAGTCGGGCTCAGCATCAATCTGTTTGGGCTCAGCTCTTTCATTTGTGGGTTCAGTTCGGTCAGGCTTGGTTTGGGATTATGACGGGCTTGAAAAGCTGAGCTCAAGGTTGGCCCATCATTATTTTGATAAGCTCAGTCTTGATGGCTCGTTTAATAAAAAAAGTCGACATCGACATCGACATCGACATCGACATCATATTCATGTTTGGGCTTGATTTGAGCTTGTGTTTAAATCACTTTGGCTTGTTCATGAACTTATATGAGCCAAAACAAGCCTATGTTCATGAACATATATATATATATATATATATATATATATATATATATGAACCTACATTCATGAACCTATACATACCTATTTTTATGAACATGTGTTAGTGAAGATGTTCAAGCCTACATGAGCTTAATGTTCATGAGTCTATTCGAGTTGAGCCTAACAGTTTTGAAGTACGACTTGTTTAGTAAGGCCCGTTTGGCATGCGTTTTGTTTTTACTGTTTTTGTTTTAAGATTGTTACAGTATCGATTTTGGCAACAAAAGCATGTTTGGTGCGGCCATGTTTTATTTTACATAGTACTAAAACACTTTGTGAACAGTGGCCCAAAACCAAAACACCAAAAAGTTATATTTTCTTGTTTTGACAACTGCTCATGGCCCAAAACCATAACAGTAACGCAACACGGGTCCAAACATTTCACAACAAAACATCGTTCCCAAACGTGCTTTCGATTTTTTTCTAAAACACTCCTACAACAAAAACACTGATTCTGTTTTAGCAAAAAACAAAACGCTTAAAACAAAGCGCATGCCAAATGGGCCCTAAACGAACTAAAGAATTGAGTTTGAACTTGGACTTGACTCATTTACTTAATGAACGAGTTCCACCCGAGTTTTAAATTAGTCGATCCTAAATTGTTCATGAACAACTCGGGTCATTTGCAACCTTGCATGGGAATGACTGAAGTATGGTTGATCAACTTTATCATACTCTTAACTTTACATAGTCATAATGGATTTAGCTTTTTGATGAAGGCATAAATGCATTGTGAGAAATGTTGTGTATTATGCATTAAAGAGTTTTATTGAGACTTTATAGATTCTTGAAAAAGTTTAGTAACAAGGGTCATTGGATGAGAGTTTTTGAGGAGCATTATGGAGCTTCAGTGCCATCTCACAAAAGACTTTAGGCTTATTAGTTTGGTGTGTTGTGCTTATAGCCAAAGTCATATCATCTTAACTGAGTGTGTTTATTGATGAAGTGATTTCAGAGTCTCATAATGTGTTTGTGGAAGGGAGGCAAATCTTGGATTTAGTGTTGATCGTTTCGGAGTGTGTGGATTGCAGGATTAGTAGCAGCCAGCAGGGAGCCGGGAGTGGTTTGTTAGTTGGATGTTGAGAAAACTTATAATATAACCATTTGTGCTGGAATTTCTTTGTGTATGATCATGTAGATGATGGGATTTGGGGAGTGATGGAGGGAAATATCTACAATGAAGTTCTCAGTTTTGGTGAATGAATCTTCTTTTAGAATTTTCTCTAGGTTGCGGGGATTAGGCAGTGTTGTCAAAGGCGCACCAAGCTCCAGGCTCATACAGGCGCAAGACTAGAGACTGTTTTGTGCCCAAGTGCTCCTTTAATATGGAATTTGAATTCTTTAATAGTAATTTAATTTTTCCATTGAGCACCTCGCCTTGCGCCTAAGCTTCAAAGGACCTCTAGCGCCTTAGTGCGTCTTGGGCCTTTGATAACACTGGATTAGGACAAGGAGATCCATTGTCCCCCTTTATGTTTATTATGGTCCTGGAGGCTTTGAGCAGATTAATGGCGAGGTTGCAAGGGCGGTGAGCTTTATCAGAGGCTCTATGGTGGGTAGGGATCCCTCTGTTCAGTTGGAGATCTGGCAGCTTCTCTTCGATGATGATACTAGAGTCTTTTACAAGATGGCAAAAGAGCAGTTGCATTTCCTGAGGTGTGTTCTAATATGCTTTCAGGCAGTTTCTGACCTGAGGATTAATTTAGGGAAGAAAGGTTATTCTGGTGGGGGAGGTCTGGGATATAGTTTCTTTGGCTAGAATTTTGGGATGTGGTTTTATATCTTTTCCCGTTGACATATCTATGCATGCCTTTGGGGTCATCATTGAGATGTTGGGATCCGGTGGTGGAGTGGTTTGAGAGAAGACTTGCAGAGTGGAAGAAGCAATATTTGTCGAAAGTGGGTTGTGTAACATTGATCAAGAGTTCATCTTGAGCCTTCCCACATATAGATAAAAATTATTGAGGATAAGTAACTCTTAAGTATAACAAAAACAAAATCTGCAAAAAAAAAAAATGTAAGAAACTTCATGCATCAGACCCAAATATAGAAATTATACATAAGCCGACTAAATCATAAATTAAGCCTTAAAAATACTATAGCCCAGTAACCTGTAAAATAAACAAGCGGAGTCATCTTTCCGTTAAAATTTTTAAAAAAATAAAAAAATCACATTGTATCTTACTTCTCTTCAGCTCTTTATCAGCGTATACAAACATTTTAGGGATAATTCCAAAAAAATTTGAGTTTTGGAGAAATTTTTCCAAAGTAATGGAGTGAAAATCAACTTTTTTCAAAATGATGGCATTTTGTGAAAGGTGTGACCAGTGAATGGTTATAAGAGGAATTTTTAGGAGTGTATTATAATTATTTTTAGGAGGTTATACAAAAATTGATTTTAAACAAAAATTGATTTTTAATAGTATAGATATAGATTTTTCTTAAGTTTCAGATTTTTTAATTCAAATTTTTATTGTCTGTTATTAACTTTCATCCATAGCTGATTAATAGAAAATGTTAAAGACACAGAGATAGATGGATGTCGTATATATATACACATAATGAGAAATAAAGAGACAGCGATCAGTTACTTGGAAGTGGACAGCTAAGATTTTTGAACGAAGACTCACCGTCTGGTTCCAACACATATTTCCAAAATTTCAATTGGAGCTCCAATTTAGGAAATATCAAATGGATGGCAGCTCAAATTGAATTGAAATCCGCTACTCCTGCAAATGACTAAGAAAAGAACTAGGAAGCACGGACACTCCAAAATGGGCGAAGAATCCGTGTCCGACACGTGTCGGACACGCCCCGACACGTGTCGGACACGCCAAAAAACGTGTCTGGAATTTTTTTTTTTAATTTTCGGACACAGCTGGGACACGGCTCAGACAGCTCAGACAGCTCGGACACGGCTCAGACAGCTCAGACAGCTCGGACACGGCTCGGACACACTTTTCTGGAATTTTTTTTTTTTTTAAATTTTTTAATTCTGATATGTTAATTTTTTTTTTTTTTTTTTTTAATTTTTAATGCTGATATGTTCTATTTTTTGTTTTGTACTACCCTAAAGATGCTGATATATATATATACTAACCTAAAGATGCCACAATTCGCCGTGTCCGTGTCCTAAAGATGCTGATATATATATATATACTAACATATCAGTGATATATATATATATTCCAACCTAAACATATCAGTGTTTTTTTTTTAAAATTATTAATGCTGATATATATATATATATATATATATATATATATATACACACACACTATTCGCCATGTCCGTGTCCTAATTTTTTTGGATTTGCCGTGTCCGTGTCGTGTCGTATCCGTGTCCCGTATCCGTGTCCGTGCTTCTTAGGAAAAGAAAGAAAATCCAAAACAGTTTACAAGATTACACGGGTTTTCATGAACATTTACTACTAAAAGGAACACAAATAGTGAAGAAAAGAAAGTAAGGACACCTATGTTTAAATTAAGGTTTCAGAGTTATAGAGAGGTAAAGAGGAGAGAAAAATATTCTGCTTCTTGTCCAAGCTTCTAAAAGGGAGAAAAAGTAGATATAAACTTTCATAGATACCCACATAATTTTTTGTGCATGCGCTCCCTTTAATAACTTTGTCTATAAACATTTACTTAATTATAGGGTAAAATTCATAAATTCCCCCTTAAGGGCGTGAACTATCCACAAATTGCAAATAATCCATTTGTATGACAAAATGCCCCCCTAAACTAAGCTAAATATACACATAAGTCGACGACTTCAAGTTGCCGTTAACAGACTAACGGTTTTACTTTTTTATCTTTATTTAAACAATGCCATTTCTTGGCTCTTCCACTCAAATTGATGAGGTGGATAGATGTTATCTCTAGTGCCGCCAATCGGATCATTCCAACTCATCTTATCCATGTCAATATTCATCTTGAAAATTCCCAATTTCTACCTTGCTGACTGGCTCTATAAACTCACTTTCTTTCACTATCCCCATCTTTCTCTCTCTGGACTACCTTCTCTTTATCTATGGACACTCATATCTGCTCTTTCGTGCTCTTCGCTTGAATTTAAGCTCCTACTTTCTTCGAACTGTTCATTATTTCAGTCTCTCTCTCTCTCTCCGTGTATATATCTATATATTGCATTACACTTGTCTTACCAATGTTGCAGCTAGATTTTATAGATCTTCAAATAGAAGGTAATACAGTAGAAGGAAAAGTTCTAATCTTAATGCTGTTAATTTGTGTAATTAGGAAAAAGTCTCTAAAATCCTTTCTTGTGCAGCTGGAATGAATGGAACTACTTACATTTCGCTATTTTTTAGTTTTCTTCACACTGTTCTGCCTGTGTGTCTATTTGATTTCTTTATCTTTAGTGATAAATAAATTTGATAATAAAATCCTTTGATTCTCTTTAGATAATCTCTGAATACCTATTAACTGACCAACTTTTAAATTGGGTACAGATTTAACCTAATTAAAATGGGATGGTGTTAATTGTCACTGGGACCTTTTATTTATTTATTATATATATTTTATTTTATTTTTGCGTAGTCACATGACATGCCTTCATCATTTGATAGTCCTTCTAAAATAGAGAAAAGAGAGAGGGAAAAAAAAAAAAAAAAAAAAAAATATGGCTGGGTTATGCTATGAATTGTTGGAGTGGTTATCAGGTAGTCTATTTGCATGCTAATTGGGAATGGGTTTTTGATTTTGGTCTCGTATATTGCTTTATACTATTGTAGTGCAATGAGGTCGGTGGCATGAAACACAAAGATATGACTATAAGCCTATAACGTACAGACAGGGTTAGAATTATCCTTTAGTTTAAAGGAAAAAACGTGATTTAACAAAATGATTAAGGAGTATATTGTCTTTCCACTCTTTTAAGGACAAAAATGAATATCAAAATGTATGGTTGCTTATAAGACATTTTCAACATTTTTTACTGTTGCCAGAGGGGGCAAAATGTTTCCAAAGCACAAACATCAAAGTACGACAATGTAATTTTTGAAAACACACGGGTGGACATTGTAATACACATGCGTCAGGTTAGTAGTGTAATATTACCTAAAAGAAAATTAAGAGATTCAACGAGGGTATAATGGTCTTTTCAATTTTACTTATTAACAACAACAACAAAAACCAAGCCTTTTTCCCAACTAATGGGGTCAGCTTCATGAATCCTATGTTTCCATTCCGCACTATTTAAGGTTTAGCCTCTGTTAATCAAGCTATCATATCCTTTCATACTAACTCCACCCATGTTAACTTTGGTCTTTCTCTTTCCGTGGTGTTGAAAGATATAAAAGTTGAAGAGAGTAACTAAAACATGAAGAACACAAGAATATAACGTGATTCAGCCATTAGGGTTAACATCTACGACACACAAAGCCAAGAGGGCTACACATCTTTATTATACTCTCTTAATCTTTCTATACAATGATCGCCTCTATTTATAGGTGAAAGAATACAAGTGATAAATATGGAAAATATATTGATGGAAGATTCCTAAAATTAATACCATAAATCACTCTAATCAAATATTCTATTATAGGCTAAAATCTCTCATATGATATTCTTATATCAAATATTCTATCAAGGAGTAATTTAAGGGTTCCTATAATAATATTTTCCAACCCCCCCCCCCCCCCCCCCTCTCTCTCTCTCTTAAGTTGGTACACGGAGATTTTAACCATGTGTCCAACTTGAAACTAAAAATGAAGTTGTGAGAGTGTGAGACGAGTAAATCTGATACGAGTTGATCCGAAGATCCGAGACGAGACGAGTTGATCCGAAGATCCGAGACGAGTTTATCCGGAGATTCAAGATGAGTTGATCTGGAGATCCGAGATGAGTAGAGTATAAGAGTAGGGTATAATAAACCTACTCTGATACCATGTTGAAAGATATAAAAGTTGAAGAGAGAAATTAAAACATGAAGAACGCAGAATATAACGTGGTTCAACCACTAGGGCTTACATCCACGACACAAAGAGCCTAGAGGGCTACATTTCTTTCATTACATTCTCTCTTAATTTTGTTTACAATAACCATCTCTATTTATAGGTGAATTGGGGAAGACTTGTAATAAAGGAATTACACAGAAAGTCAAATATAAATATGGCAACAACTTGTTGATCCGGAGATTCAAGATGAGTTGTTCCGTAGATCCGAGACGAGTAGAGTATAAGAGTAGGGTATGATAAACCTGCTTTGATACCATGTTGAAAGATATAAAAGTTAAAGAGAGTAATTAAAATATGAAGAACACAAGAATATAACGTGGTTCAGCCACTAAGGCTTACATCCATGACACACAAAGTCCAAAGGGTTACATATCTTTATTATACTCTCTTAATCTTTCTATACAATGATCACCTCTATTTATAAGTGAAAGAATACAAGTGATAAATATGGAAAATAGATTGATGGAAGATTCCTAAAATAAATACCATAAATCACTCCAACCAAATATTCTATTATAGGCTAAAATCTCTCCTATGATATTCTCATATCAAATATTTTATTAATGAGTAATTTAAGGGTTCTTATAATAATATTTTCCAACACGTAGTATTACCCTCAACGTGGGCTATATCAATTTTCCTAACTGGCGCACTTAAAGGTCTTCTTTGCACATGTCCAAACCATCTTAACCTATTTTAGTCATTCTTGTTTTTATTTATTTAAGAACTATTAAAATAATGAGGGTAAAAATGTCAAAAACATTTGTAATTTAGTAAATGTCGCAAAACTTCAATCTGATGGCGATTACCCAAAACCTCGGTTACATGTCAGGATAATTTACCCTTATAACTATTATTCTTTAAAAGCACAAATAGGAGTTGCGTTTCTGTAGTTCGCTCACTGTTGCCATCAACCTTCACGAAGGGGCGAAACCGTAGTCATACAACTGGCAACGGGAAGACCTCTGGCAATATTCCGATGACATTCCTCGAATTTGGCAGTGTGAAGAAAAACTCCAATAATTTATTTAGGCTAGATTTTTAACTCCCGTAAACCTGAATCTCAATGAAGGTTAGTAATTTCTTTGTTATTACGCCTTTTTTTTTTTTTTTTTTTTGTCTTCCATCTCTTCTTCTCCTTCATCAGTCTCGATTCACCAACATCCGTGTCGTGTCGAATCAAATACTCTAGGGCAAATTGACGGGTCCAAGTAACATAAAGGAGGATGACCTTGATAAGTTTTACGCCAATTGTGAGGCTTATCCGTTAGAGAAGAGGTTATCAAAATAGTAATAAATGCCTATGCAGAAGGTTGGGTACCCATGGAGATTGAAACGCAGTACCTTGATAGGATATACTGGAGCTTGTTTTACATGGAAGAGACTTCATAAGGTTTTCACTTTGATGTTGATCTGTGGGAGAGGAACTACTTGAGGTCTTTGATATCTCCTTGAGGTTTTAGTTGTAGGTGACGGACTCATGGTACTTGATATTTCCTCGACCTTTATCCAAAGGAGAAGAATTCCCTGAGGTCTTCAATTTGTCAAAACTTATATTTTCAAGAGGAACTCATTGAGTTTTTTTATTTATTTTATTTTATATATATTTTCGCGATATCTATCCGTAGGAGAGGAACTACTTGAGATCTTTAATATTTGCATGGGGACTTGGATCAAATTGCAAAAGGGTTATCTACTAAAGTCAGGCTTGAGATAATTGTGTCATATAGAACCACTTATTAAGGGGGGGGAAAAAAAAAGGTCAAATAGAACCCTTTGTGATACTTGTGCAGATACAATGCCACATGGGCTCACATTGAGTACTGCATGCTGGGATGCATTACTTTGACACAAGTGCTAACTTGGGGTTATGTACCCACGACTTTCTCTAGTGATGTACTCGAATAGTTCCTTCATCCAACTTCCTAGTAATGCAATCGTTTATCTTTATTTTTCCTTTTCTGTTCTTTTCTAATATTTTCTTAAATTTCTTTGTAATTTATCTTCTTTTTTTTTTTCCCCCTAAAAGTACTGATCAATATTGACTTCCTATTCGCTATGCTCATTTTAAAAGAATTCTAACAGAATAACATTCCCTGTATGAAGTTTGGACACTCAGTCATTCTTAAAGTGTGGATGCCGTCAGTCATTTTGTAGAAGTTTCACAGCACTCAAAACTTCAAAAGCTCTAATTCCATAGGCAATGCTGCCTCAAAGTCCCTTGTGAATAGCAGGCCCGAGATAGCTGAATTGTCAATTTTCGGGGAACTCTACTTTGTTTAAGTAAATATAAATTTTAATGATACGATCTCTAGGCCTTGCTTATTGCAGTGTTTTTAGATTTGAATGTAATTAAGAAACCGGTTCATGTACCAACAAATTTTAACAGCATCATTACAATAATAAATTAATCACGGCCTTATGATGATTCCTTTATTTGTTAATGTGTGTTATTTTCTTGTGTTTTGTCATAATAAATACACTTATGAATATTTTTTCTCATTGCTTGTAATTCAATCCAAGACTAAAAATTATACCTTTTGCAGAGATAATTGAGTGGATGGTGAAGAAAAAAATGGAAGTTGAAGCTGTTGATATTGTTTATATTTTTGGGCTTGAAAATAGATTCTCTCCTCAGGCAATTTTGACACCATTCATGCGACGGTCTAAAGAAACTTTTAAGAAAGTAAAAAATTCTGCACGAAGTTCAGATCCAGAATTGGTATGGTTTTATTTTTCATCTCTTGTTATAGTTGTTAGTAATTTTTATGTTGATTATGCAAATTTATGATGTCAAACAGATTGAAGCAAACCAAAAGAAGTTAGCTGATCTGAAATATGTATTGAAGTGTTTGGAGGATCATGAGATCGATCCCTTTAAGGTTCTTCCTGAATGGAATATCAAAGAAACTATATGTGGATTGGAGAAAGAAATTGCTGATTTGCGTAAAACAGTAGGTGATGCCAAAGAGAGAAGCAGAAGAGAAGGTAATCCCAAAGAGAAGGTGACGCCAAAGAGAAAAGCAGATGAAATTGAGTCCCCGATAAAAACCCAAGAGGTAAGGCCATCGTGGATTGGGGGTTATGGGCCGCAACGACAGATGGCTGCTGGTTATGAGGATGCCCAGAACCCTTACAATGGTTTGACATCAATGAACTTGTCGGATGGTAGGCTCTCTTCTCACATCAATAGTTATTCTGCTTCCCCATCAGTATTGCATGGATATGGTGCAGGGCCATCTTCCTCAAATGTTATCAGCTCAGCAGCAGGAAGTGAGAGTAGTGTGCTCGCTGCTGGCATGTTGGCAGGTAGTGGTGGTATTCTGCCTTCTGGTTCAGTTGTGGGGGTATATGGCGGGGTGCAAGCTGATAATGGCAGACAAGTGATGAATCAGGATCATCTATATGGGTGGCATGGGGATGCAGCCTTCCGCACAGGGGGGTTTGGTCATAGCTTAGCAGGACAGCCTGCAGCTATTGGTGTTAATGGTTTGTACAGGCCATCGTCAACAATGGAGGGCTTTGCGGGGTTTCCAGATCCCCCAGGTGGTTCGAATCGGAGTTCATCCTCTGATCTCTATCAATTCGCTGATGCTGTTGTGGAAGGTGAGTCGTATCGCAGCAGTGGTTCTCGCATGGGTGGTGCGGTGCCTCCACCTGCCCATCGTCCCTCATACTTGTATTGAACGAATCCATTCTGCCTGTAATTGGTGTTTATTTACTTATTTTCTTTACCTTTTCATTTTGACACTCTAGATCCCTATGTAGAGTCTCGCAGAAGTATCAAGAGGCCGTGTTTGGCATGTTTATAGAACTTAAGCTAAACTTTGAATTTTTTAGTTTTTGTAATGGCAAGAAACACATTCATACTTTTTGTCCGTATGAGGACTTGTCTCGGGCCTTTTTGATGAATACCATGTGTGGAAATTGCAAGAGAGTAATGTAATTTTTAAAATGTTAGGGGTACTATGTGTAATTAAGTCTACGGAGATAAGTGATATTTTCCCCTTATATCCATTGATCAGGTAAGAGTCATAAGCTATTTATACTAAAGGTTTACATTCATTTATAAGTTGTGAAGAGTTTAGCCAAAAATAACTTCATAACCGTCCCATCAAAATGTTACAGTATTTAACATATTATAAGTTGGATTGGTTACAGGCTAGTGACCAATCCAAACTGTCATCTAGCCTAATAATTTTCTACAGTATTTAACATATTATTTCTACTCTTTCTAAATATATCTATACATGCATTTTCATTTTTTATGTATTTTTTAAATTTAAATATCTAAATTTAAAGTAGTCAATTTTCATATAGACTAAAATATTCAATATCACCCTCTCCCCTTTAGATATGAGCAATGTCAAGATGATTGAAGTTGTAACTGTGATATGCAGAATGCAGCAATTCATTTTTAGGCTAGATAGGGTAACAATTTATGCCCAAATCCATTGAAATACCCAAATTCGGTCATTAAAATAAAATTATTTGGGCATCCAAATTTAAATGAGTGTGTCATAGGTAAAAAATGGGTATCCATACAATTCAAGAGTCAATGGTGAGTTAAGAGTGGGTACCCATCAGCTCAATTTTTTATTTTATATTTTTACCATGTTTAAATTATTCTCTTTTTATAAACTGTTTGGATGAAATCATTTCAAAACGCAAAATAATAAATAAGCAAAGTTTGTTCTTTTTTTTTGTTTTTGTTTTTGTTTTTGTTTTTTTTTTTTTTTTTTTTTTTTTTGTGGTCCTTAGGCCTGGTTTGGTTAGATAGAAATAGTAAGAAAAGAAAAGAAATGGAAAATGAAAAGAAAATTAATTTTCTAATATGTATTTGGTTAGCATTAAAAATTATTCAAAAAAAACTATAGGAAAATATCATATTATAGTTTGGATACCTAAATTATCCTTATTTTATAAAAATAATAAAATAATAAAGAATTAGTAATAAAATATATTAAAAAATTATTTAGTTTTCAATTAAGTTAAGACCTTCCGAACTACTTTTATTCATATACGATGAAAAAATAGGAATGGAAGTCAAGTTAATTAAAACTTTATCAATGATAAAGTTGGTGGACTCTAATAATTTGAAATCCAGTAAAAAAATTGTTATTGTTGTTCTCTCCAAATATAGATGAAATTATTGGGTAAAATAATATCAATGAAGTTGTTGGGTAAAGTAGGAATACTAAATAAAAAGACAATGCTTTCACGAGAAAATAAAATTTCCGGTGTTTTGTGTAGGAAACGTTTCATAAAAAATAAAGGGTTACAAAAATATTAATTTTTTAGAACTTTTCCTTTTCTATCTAACCAAATTATTAAAATGTTTATAATTTTTTTATTTCTTTTATTTTTCTGTTGATTCTAGGTCTAGGATCCTATAAGTTAAAATCTCTCTACATTTTGAATTGTTATAGTTTTAACACGTGTCATTTCACCTAAATCTAGGGCTGACAACAATTCACATAATTTAGTGATAAAAAAATGCTTGAAACGACAATATTTTGAGGAAGAAAAATTGTGATTTTTTTTATAAAAAATCCACTACTTAAAAAGAAACCTATTCCTTCCCAAAAATTGAAGAGTCAAAAAAAAAAAAAAAAAAAAATTGATATCCTAGTCCATGAATCATATGGGAACTTTATAAAAAAAAATGATACGTTTTTATTTTTTAAATTTTTATTTTTTTTGGCTTTAGAATTTTTATTTTGGATTTTTTTTAAAAAAATGTGATTTTTTTTTTTTTAAAATGTATTTTTCTTAACTTATAGAATTTACTTAACCAATAAAGCGAAAGAAAAATGAGATCATTTTGACTAGTCAAAAAGAAAGCAAGGGAAATAAATAAAAGAATAAAATAAAAAGTGGAGTTTGGTTTTTTATTTTTTATTTTTAATTTTTCCTTAGTGATTAAGCCTTCACCCTATCCTTTTCATCCATCTAATCTTTAAATTACTATCCTTCCAAATGAATATATGTATATTTATTACAATTATATGTAATCTGTTGATCTTATAAATATATATGTTAGAGAGAGAGAGTAAAGTAACGGTGGCAAAATGGGTTAGGAACTATCAACCTGCCCATATCTGCTTACCTTTTAATGGTTATGGGTGAATCATATTTAGTTTGAGGGTTAAGATGGGTTGGATAATTTTTAACCACTTAATTTAAGGGTTAGTAACCATATTCAACCCATATTTTACCTGTTACATGATAAACATACAACACATATCTATTCTATATTGCACTCAACTCATTTATTTCTCTAAAATTCTCTCACTCACAATCCTCTCTCACTCTAGAAATTTCTTCTAAAAAAATAAATAATTAAAAAATAATTTTAAATAATTAAAAAAATAAAAAATTTTAAAACCTTTCAAAAAAAATAATTTAAAAATAATTTTTTTTTATTTAAAAAAAGTAAATAAAAAAATAAAAAAATTAAATAAAAATATTTAAAAATAAAAAAAATAAAAATAAATAAAAAAATTAAAAATCCAATCTAATTCAGGTTGGTCTTTCGCTCCTGCAACATGGTATGGTAGCTCCAATGGCGCTGGAAGCACTGGTATATATATACACACACTCACACATATGTGCATAAAGTTTAATTGGCAACATATACATGTTTGACTAGTTATATATAAGAGTTACAATATTTGATGTTATATATTGTTGTACATATAGGTGGGGCCTGTGGATATGTAAATGCTGTAGAGCAACCCCCATTCTCTTCCTTGGTATCTGCCGGTGGTCCTTCGTTGTACCAAACAGGCAAAGAGTGTGGAGCTTGCTATGAGGTGTTGATAACTAAAATCTACATTACTATATATGTGTGTGTGTGTGTGTGTATATATATATATATATATGTTTAAACCTTTTATCAATATATAAGAGCCCATATATAAATTTATAAAAAAACAGAAGCCTATCATAAATTCATGCGTACATATATTAAGTGCATATATATATATATATATATTTCTTTTATTAATATACACACATATAATAATTAGTTGATGGTTCATATTCACAAATCCTATCTCTCCATTACTAAAATTTTGTTATTAATAAAGTTGTAAATTTGGTAATTAATCTTACATTTTTAATTGATGGTTTGTATTCATAATTCCTATTGCTCCATTACTAAATTTTCATTATTTTTTTGAATGTATAAAAATTAAAAAATTAAAAAAAAGTTTAAAATTTAAAAAATAAAAAATAAAAAATAATTAATGGGTCAACGGGTCATAACGGATTGACCCTACCCATTTTCAACCCGTCTATTTTCAACCCATTCTGAACGGTTAAATATGGTTTTTGACCTATGTTAACTCGTCTATTTTCAACCCAACCCAAACCCGACCCAACTCACCCATTTGCCACCCCTAAAGTTGCAGACAATAAGACCGTGTGTGTACACACACACAAACACACGTTGTAGAGAGAGAGCGGGGATTAATCGAAGATTTGCAAATGGGACTGTACAGGTCCATTTCCATGTATAATCTCTATCCTAAAATCCTACTAATATACCTACACACACACACACACACACAATGAGATCATTTTGACTAGTCAAAAATAAAGCAAGGGAAATAAATAAAAGAATAAAATAAAAACTCGAGTGTGGTTTCCTATTTGTGACTCGACTAGGGCTGCAAATGAGCTGAGCCGAGCCGAGCTTTAGGCTGTTCGGGCTCGGCTCGTTTGTTTATGGGATCAGCTCGGGCTCAGGCTCGGCTCGTGACGAGCTCAAAAATTTGAGCTCGGGCTCGGGCTCGGGCTCGGGCTCGGGCTCGTTTTGATTTTAAAAGTTCGGGTTCGGCTCGTTTAACAAAAAAAAAAAAAAAAAAAAAAAAATTCAAAATTAATTAGTATTCTACAGGCCACAATACCTTTTTCCATTGCTTTATCAATTATCACATAAACAAAAAGAAAAAGGGCAAAAAAAAAAAAGGTGCAGTAGTGCAAGCTTTTATGTTTCAAGAACAAATTAAGAGTTTATTTCAAAAAAAGAAAAAAAGACAAAATTGAGCATGAGTGCATTATGCATTTTCTATGAAAATACAACACATCAAAAAGTTATAAATTCCCATGATAATAATATCTATAGAACCACTGAAACATTGTATATATTAAGTAGAAAAAGAAATCATAGAGGAAAATAAGTTGGAGATAAATTAATTTAGCTACCTGTGGCCATTGAGCATTAGTCTCCATAAATTTAGAAGAAGCAACAGAAAAGGCTAAACAAAATTGTCTGCAACTTCCTAAAAAACGTTTTGAGGTTGTCCAGATCCATGGAATTAAAGTGAAAATAAAGTTTTGCCAAAAAATTAATTGATGCAGTACCTAATTGATGGCGAGGACAGAGGATGGCCAATGATGATGACGAGGATGGAGGGACAGCGGCACAGACGACGGCGGGAAACGAACAACGTCCATGGCGAAGACAGAGGACCGCGGCCAACGATGACGATGACAGACGATGCGTTCAGATCTGAGAGAGAGAGTTATGGCGATTGAGTTGATTAGAGAGAGACAGAGAGGTAGTTGTGTAGATGGAAGGGTTGTCGTCGCCGGTGGAGTTGATTCGTAACTCGTGAGTGAGTGATAGAGAGAGAGAGACTGACGATGTTGTGGAGAAGAGGCAGATCTGAATGGTGGGGTCTAGTTTTAGGGTTTTTTGATATCTTACAAAATCAACGGATGAGATGGGTTCTAATTTAATGGGTGAGACGAAATCTTATTTGGGCTATGGATCTATGGTGGATTTTCTTTGGGCTAGTGAGTTATAATGCTTGGGCCATATTAATGAAAAATATGAGTTGGGCCAAACTTAAAAATAATATGGACTAAACATTTTAAATGTACAATAAAAACAAATGGGCCTGATATATATAGAATGGGCCTGATATATATA